AGGAAAATTCCTTAGCATAATACCTCGATCTTTCAATCACATTCGCTTAATCTATTCATCACGGTATATATGATAACAGTCCGCAAACCATTAGATGAATTCGGTAATAAATGTGTTTCTTTATTGATTTCTAGGTTAACGCCATTCTCAACATCAGAAGAGGTCTCTAAGTACGGACTGGACATCGTGGTTCAAGATGACGATCAAACTCTGGTGTCCGACGCATCGCTCGCTTCTGGCGTCACCAAATTGCAACCACTATCACTATGGGACCAACTATCCAAATCGGTGGTGGTTGAAGGAAATAATGATGTGAACTCAATTCATGTGGAGCGTTTTATCTCTTTAACCGAGGGTATCGTTATTCCCATCGGTGACTGCCAAAATATACTGAGATGGCTAGACACTCGTATTCGACTGCTTGTATAATTAATAGCAATAATTAACGAGATCTATTTAAAGATTCTTTCATCGTGATCAAGAATGTAAATAATTTTTCATCTGTATATATAATCTAAAGTAATGTTCAAATAAAAACACTGCACTGAATACCAAAGTCACTTTCCACGGCACGTTTTTACGACAATAATGCTTGCATGTGGTTGTTTCTGATTACGCACGAAATCTACATACGTTAAATCGCAGGATATTCCATGTAATCGATAACGATTTTTTATAATTCAAGTTATTGAAAAATCAAACAAAATTATTCATTCCAAAAGATAGATTGAAATTTGATAATTAATTATTTGTTTTTAAATAGTTATAACGTAACATTTATCTTTAAATTGTTATAATGTAATATTTATCTAAACCATTATAAAATAACTTAATAAATCTTTTATTAAAAATTTTCGTTCAGGTGCAAAGCAAAATGTTAACCAACAATAGATATTATATTGAATAATGCTGAGTGGTTTCATTATCTACTTGGAATTTTTGGGATAAATTAATAGAAAAAAAAAACGATAGTGACCAACTAACTATACTATAAGTATTACGAGAATAAAAATAATATTTACAAAAAATACTGTGTCCAAAGTTTTCTATCCTCTTGATTTTTTGTTACTCGTAGATGAATAAAATCTTTATTAGCAAAAGTTGATGATTTTAGTTTCAATACACAAATTGGTTTAATACTTTTGGAGCTTGAAGATTCTTCTAACATTATTCAATATAAATTTATAAATCGTTTTTTTATTCAAAGAATTTATGTTCTATTTTATTTTTTACTTGGAAATAGCACATTTTTTAAAAAAATCAACTTTTTATCATTCATTTATACCCTAAATTATTTTCTTCGTTCTGTTATTAGCAAGTAGATTAAATAAATAAATTATGATGTTTAAAGTGAAATTATATATTGTTGTTTATAAATTTGTCGGTTCTATATTTACAAGCTTTATGTGAAGATCCTAAAGTTTGGGTACTTGAAGGTTTCTAGATACTAAACTAATTCGTGCTGACTTTGAAATCGTGAAACTCATTGTCCGCCAATTTAAGCTACCGGGCCATTTCCGTTTTGACGTCCGCTTGACATGAATCGAGTTCACATCATTATTTCCTTCAACCACCACCGATTTGGATAGTTGATCCCACAGTGATAGTGGTTGCAATTTGGTGACGCCAGAAGCGAGCGATGCGTCGGACACCAGAGTTTGGTCGTCATCTTGAACCACGATGTCCAGGCCGTACTTAGAGGCCTCTTCTGATGTTGAGAATGGTGTTAACCTAGAAATCAATAAAGAAACATGTTTATTACCGAATTCGTCTAATGGTTTGGTGGACGGTTATCATATATACCGTGATGAATAGATTAAGCGAATGTGATTGAAAGATCGAGGTATTATGCTAAGGAATTTTCCT